CGCTGTCGGAGCGGGAACAGGAGGAGCGGGAGCGGCGCCGGCGCGAGGAGGACGAGGAGCTCCAGCGCATCCTCCGCCTCTCGCTCACGGACAAGTAGTGCCGGCGTGCACACGGGGACACCCGCGCCAGGCACGGACACCGCCACGGGGCACAGCCTCGCATGAGGACGGACACCCATGCAGAGCTAGCCTTGCACAAGGACAGAGAGCCCCACAGGGCACAGCCTCGCACGGCGGGGACCCTTCCACCAGGCACGGCCTCGCACGGGGATGCCTCCATCTGCTCACGGACAAGTAGTGCCGGCGTGCACACGGGGACACCCGCGCCAGGCACGGACACCGCCACGGGGCACAGCCTCGCATGAGGACGGACACCCATGCAGAGCTAGCCTTGCACAAGGACAGAGAGCCCCACAGGGCACAGCCTCGCACGGCGGGGACCCTTCCACCAGGCACGGCCTCGCACGGGGATGCCTCCATCTGGACATGGACCCTCACGAGGACACCCTGACTTGGGCACAGCCCTGCATGGCCACCACCATGCACCTGGTCCCAGGGACCCCCCTGAAGAGGGTGCAGCCCCCATGTGGCAGGGGAGTGGGGGTGACCCAGAGATCCTCCTCCCCGTGGCACCCCCTGGTCCAGGGATCCCCTTGTGCCTCAGCCCAGGGTCCCCTATCCCAGGTGCCTCCTGTCCCTGTGGCGTATATTACCCCCGTGTGGGGCAGGAGAAACCCCAGCAGCTCTTGCCTCCCCCCGTTTAAAGGCACCCATATGAACGTGGACATTTAGGAACTCCCAGGCCACGTCTCCAGGTGGCAGCGGCAGGGTGGGGGGAGCCCTATGTGTGTGTATGTATACATATATATTCACATATATGTACATATATATATATACATATATATATATGTATATGAAGGGGAGCATCTGCTGCCCGGGCACAGGATGGGGAGGGAGATGGCATCAGGAGGCAGAGCCTGGGAAAAGGGGTGGAGCCTGTAGAAGGAGGAGGAGCCTATATTGAGGGGCGGAGTCAGCAAGCAGAGGGGAGGCCCTGGTGGTGTCTCCCGGGATTTTCGTTTCCTCCAGCTGCCCCAGTGTGGCTCCTCGTCCGCATTCTCCCCTCTTCGCAGCTTTATTTATTTTATTTATATCTCTTGGGGTGGCCCCGGCCCAGGGAGGGGGTGTTTGGCCAGGTGAGCCCCACCGCAGCGCTGTGGGGCTGGGTCAGGCCTCCATGGGGCAGGGGGCCTGGTGCACGCCATGGAGCAGAGGAGCAGAAGAGGGCAGCGGGCAGCGCCGGATGGAGCCCCCCACCGGAGGGAAAGCAAAGAAAGAGCAAAGCCAAGCGGTGCCTCCGCGTCTCTCTGCCCCACACGCTCCAGGGGGCTCCCTCCGGCCGCCGGAGCCCTAAGCGGGGGAGTCACACCTTAGGGGGTCAGGATGCCCTG